GCCCGCCCGCCGCGCTCCCCGCGTCCCCGCTCTCGGCCGCTGCTCGCTCGCCGCCCGCCAGCCCGCTCTCCGCCGCGGTCTCCTCTGCCTCCGTCGGTGTGCGAGCGAGTCTCCCTCCCTCTAATGCAGGAAATGCGCAAAAGACGTCAGTGAGTGAGTGTGAGTGTGTGTATGTGTGTGTGTGTGTGCGTGTGTGTGTGTGCACGCGCGCGCGCGCTCGCCAGTGTTTGGGGAAATAGAAAGTTTTGCCGGTTGGGGGAGCAATACGGGAAAAGTGAGCCGAGGAGAGAACAGGAGAGAGACGGCGAGCCTGCCCGGGTCGCGGCGGCGGGCGGGAGAGCCGGGCGGGGACCCTGAGCGGGACCCCGGGGAGTGGCGGCGGGGGACGGGGGCCGCGGGCTGCTGATGCGTGGTCTTTGCTCTCCGCCGGGAGACTCGCGGGCCTCGCATCTCTCGGGGACTCTGCGGCCAACACTGTCATTTTGAGACGGGGGCAGGCGAGTGGCGGGGACTCGGAGCCTCCTCCAGTCCCACCCCCACTCGGGCAGTGGCCGGCAGGAGCAGTCTGCGGAGTATTGGCCCTTCTGTCATTCTGACCGGGGACGCTCGACTCGGCTGCGGTGGGGGAGGGGGAGGAGGAGGGACGATCCAGCTCGGTGTGAGTTTTTAAACATGATTATTTTCTCTTTTCTTTCTTTAGGGGTCACTCTCTCCTTCGGGATCTGTCCAGGGCTTCTCAGGCTGCGAGAACTTGTTGACAAGTGAAAGCTTGGTAGAACCCCGGCTCGCTTTGTGTGCCTGTTTATATTTACAAAGCGACTCTTCCTGTTGACACGGGACCTCGTCTGCGCCCCTTTGGGGGACATCGGCTCTGACCAGTGAGATGACAGCGGCCGTCGCGGCTGCGGGGGGCGAGTGGTCGTGTCCATGCTCATTTCCTCCGTAACCTTTAAACTCTCGCTGGAAGCCGCGGCGGCGGCTGGTCACGTGAGGCGAGCCCTGGGCTGCTGGGGAAGAATTTCCTCCGCGGGGAGCTGGGACGGGGAAGGCGGCCAGGCGAGGGACTGCCCCGCGCGGGGGAACTGGGAACCTGGGAGGGCTGGGCGAGAGCGCCGAGGCCCGGGGCGCGGCCCACCTGGACACCGGTGGGGGCTGCGCAGGCCAGAGGGCTTCGCCACCTGGAGCTGCGGGTTGAGCCAGTAGGAAAAGAAAACCTCCGCCCTCACCCTTGTGCCAAGTCAAGTCAGGGAGTTTGCAGGGACCACGGTAAGCTGAGTGTTCATCTGACGGTGGTTAGTGCGGACTAAAATTGAAAACTCGCCTCCCGATCACTTTTTCTTCAGTGGAAAAAGGTTATCTTTGCCTGTGGCTTAAAGGCTTAAAAAGGCTTAAAGGCGAGGAAGGAGGCAGTCCCCTGGAAAAACAGAATATCAAGTGCGGCATACAGTCCCAAAAATGATGAGAAAAGTACCAAGGCCACTGTGGCAGATCCTCTCGCCTCACAAGAGCCTGTCAAGTCGATGCCTGTAGTCGCTTTCGGGAGTTTACAAGTACTTACAAGTAATTCCTGTAGCCCGCTCTGTCGAATGGGGCAGATGAGCAGAGATGGTGCTAAAATGCAGTCTTAGGGACGACTTAGATAGTTCACACGTAAAAAAATCGGTATTTAAAGTTGTGCCTTACATGGCCACTCGCTCCAGCTGGATGTATGATATTTTAAAATATGTCAGTTTGCCAAGACACAAGCAGGGATATGTCTCTGCTGTTTTTTTTTTTTTTTCTTTGATCATTTGAATTTTTTCCTCTTGATTCTTAATTCCACCATTCTATTCTTACTAAGCTTTTCCCCCCTTAACGGAGCAATGGCAAATACAGTTTGATCTTCTAAAAATGCATTTGGGAAGCAGGACCAGCACTAAAGTGAAATGAATGAGATACTTTTCCAAGAAGCAATATTTAAAAGGTACCGATAAGCTCAGTAGTCAAGATCAATAATATTTTAATACAATATTTTTAAATTTTTTAAAAATCAAATTTTTAAAAATTACAAACTTTTTAAAAATCAAAAGTTATGTAAAAATCCAGCATGAGCATAATACACAAGTCCCCCTTATCTGCAATTTTGTTACCCACGATCCCAAAATATTAAATGGAAAATTCCAGAAATAACAATTCGTAAGTTTTTAATTGCTCACTATTCTAAGTAGCCTGATGAAATATTGCTTTGTCCTGCCGGGGATGTAAATCATTTCTTTGTCCAGCGTATCCATGCTGCTATATACACTACCCACCCACTGGTCACTTAGCCTCCACCGTTATCAGATTGCCCATAGCTTTATCACAGGGTTTGTATTCAAGTAACCCTTATTTTACTTAGTAATGCAGGTAATATTACTTACAGTGCAAGTAATATTACTTAGTAATATATTACTTAGTTTACTTATTTTACTTAGTAAAGCACAAGAGTAGTGATGCTGGAAAACTGTTATAATTGTTCTATTTTATTCATTATCATTGTTAATCTCTTACTATGTCTAATTTATAAATTAAACTTTATCAAAGGTATGTATGGACAGGAAAAAACATAGTATATGTACAGTTCAGCACTCTCTGTGGTTACAGGCATCCACAAGGGGTCTTGTAGTGTATCCCCTGCAGAAAAGGGGGTCTACTGTATCCAAATTTTAAATAATTTTAAATATTGCACTAAAATATAATTTATATTATTGCATTTATTGACAGCCCTTAAATTTTGTGCCTGAGCCGAGTGCTTCATTTACCTCCCCCTAGTCCCAGCCCTGCAGGGAAGTCTGGAAAGTCAAGGATTTCATGAAGTTAGGGGTTTTTCACTACTTGGTGTTTCACACCTTCTCTCTCCTTGTTCTGGGTGAGTCCTATCTTACATGCAAACAGAAAAATGCATGGGATTGAGAAACATTAACCTAAATCCCTCCTCTGTAGTGTGTTAAACAGGAAACAAGTTTAGAATTAAGAGCACACTGAACTTGAACATTTTGCATATCATATTCCCCATCCCCAGGAAAGACCCCCAAATATATTAAGTGGGTCTGTTATCATCTTAGTGACTATCTTAAAACAGGTAACCTACAAACTCTCATCACCAAATCCTTGTGTCCTGGGTAAAGTCATAGGAAGGCAGCATGTACCTCTTAGCAGACTGTTACTCCATGTGAATAATCAGACTGCAATTCTCAGAGGCAACCAATACCAGCCTCCTTTCCATTACAAGTCTTTGTGGGATGGGGGTACTAAAAGGCTTGTCAAACAAAATAGCTGTTTTACATTGGATGAATGTTTACATAAAAAAGGGAGAAAGCAAATACTCTGCATGCAAACATTGCTAGTTCCCTGGCCCTCTTACATCCTTATTTCTAAATAAATCTCTCACCTTCCTACTCTCAAACTTGGCCAGATGAAAATATATATTCTCCAGGAGCATCATGGTGATGTCAGACATGAGCTTAAGGGGAAACCCCTTAAATTTACCTGAGGGGGAGATGGGTCTAAAGTAATCCCCTGCTCTAGATTTCATGTGAAAAGAAAAGTCCCTGCAGGAGGAGAGCTCAAAATGTAAAAAAAAAAAAAAGTCAATAACTATTGCCTACTTCATCCTTCTCCTGGCCCCTGTGTACAATCCTGAAAGACAAGACAGCGATTGGTGTCTACATTGAGTAAAATGTCCTTTGGATTCCAGCTATGTCCTAGTTATTTCATAATCTTTCAGAGAGAAAAGAGGAGAGGAAGAAAACTGATATAAGAATTTAACAAATACGATCAAGATGGGGTCCTTGTCCTTTTAAAATTAAGGATCATAGGAAACATAGGAAAAGGACTGATAGAGAGCAAGTGTGCCCAGGGCAGTGTGATCAATGTTGCAATAGATCTGAGGATGGGAGTGGCACAGGGGATGGATCAACCCTTTGCCTGGGGGAGCGTGGGAAGGCATCACCTAGCAGGGTCATTTGAACAGGTCTGGGCTTTCCAATGGGAGTTCCTCCAGCAGCAAAGAGGAGGGGAAGGGCATGGAAGCAAAGGGAACAGAGTGTGCAGTGTACAGGTAGAAAAGACCATGGCTATCTGGGATGAGAAAGCAGCCAGGTGTGCCTGGTTTGTGGCAAGTAACAATAGGAGATGAGGTAGGTTGCAACCCAATAGTTAAGTCCTAGTACGGCCTGCATATGGATTTGAACTTTTTCCTGGAGAGAAACATTCCAGTGGGCAAGCAGCATTAACTGGAGCTAATACTTTACAAATGCAATTTTGTGGCAAATGGATATTTTCCTCTTCTGTAATTTTTCTCCAGAAGACTCACCTTAGAACAGGGTGTTAGTCGATCCAAGTCTGATGATGATTTATACTCTGTCTGATCAAAAATGACACAGTTTGTGAATGCTGTTTAGATCAGCTAAAGGAAGCAGGGACTGGTAGCCAGAACCTTAGACTAGCATGTTAATATTCATGTCCTTGTTGCTGTGCTGGTTGTTGCCATTTATAGAATGTTAATGGGCTTCTGCAAAGGTCTGCCTGGTCAGGGTCTATCATACATTCCACACATGCTCCATTGTACAGAATTCAACCACCTGGGCCATGGAATGGAATGTGCAGCAGCATGATGGGCCGTGCCCCAGCCTAGTCCCCACCTGACTCCCAGGCTCACTTCTAACTTTGCTCCAGGTCCACCCTCCGGTTCCTGGCTCTCGTCTGACCTGCCATGTCTTATTCTGGCTCCATCTCTGCTCTGAACTCTGGTGCAGTAACTCAGGCTAAGCTTCACTTACACCTGCAAGGAGGTACGGGGATCAGAGGTAGCCCCATAGAGCTTAAAGATGGATGCAGGGAGGGGATGGCCTGGGCCATCCTTCCTCAGTGCCCTTGAGCATAAGCCCCACCACACTCTAGGGCACCTTATAGAAAATAACATCACATGCCTCATCTTCTTTGGCTGAGATATTGGGCTGTGTGTTGAGACTTTGAAGTACATATATCAATCCAAGGGTCTTATACTAAGTACCTGCTATGTACAGGATACTGGTACAGTTGCTGTAGGAAGGACAAATAGATATATGGATGATTCCTAGAAATATATATATGGGAGATGGGTAGATCAATTCAGTCAGTCATTTATTTAGCAGGTGGTAGTAAATGTCATGTCATTTCAAGCGCTGGGGGAAAAATGATGACACACAATGACCCTGTATTAATTGAGATTGGCTAGGTCATGCTGCTGTAGTAGCAATCCCCAAGGCCTTAAAATAGCATAGGTGTCTTCTCACACATGCTATAGTCCATGCCAGGTCGGCTGGGAGCTCTGCTGCACATCAGCATCATTCTCATTCCCGGATGCAGGCTGGCTGAAAGTCTCTATGTGGAACCTAGTTGGTCACAGGCAGAGAGCAAGAGGACATGTGCAGGGGCTTACATAGGTAAATTGTCCACCCAAAAGTGCTAAAGTACTTCCACTCACTAGGCGTTAGATAGATCCAGTCGTGTGACCGCTCCCCCAACCTCAAGGGGCTGAGAAATTCTACCACCTGCATGGGCAAGAAGCCTGAAATACTTGGAGAATAGCACCGACGGCTGCCATAGACACTCTTCTCAAATAACTGGTACAGAAAGGTAATTCAAGGTAGCACACAGTAAATGACAGATAAATGGCCCAGTCAGAAAGCATTGTAGAAATTTAGCTGTAGCAATGATCACAATAAGAGTGGGACTGTTTGATCCCAACAAAGGCCCTGGGCCACTGCATACAGAAGGCTTCAGATGATGTGGAGAATCTTGCCTAATATGAGAACCAGCAGCCACCTAAGCTCCTTTCCCTCTCCCCTTCATATGCCCAAACTCACAGGACCTGCAGATCCTTAAAGCCACTTCCACACTAAGACAGCACTAAAGAGGCATTCACACACATTGAAACTCAGAAGACTCCACAGGATTTGAGAGATCACAGTGTCTATACTCTTTACTGTTATTAAATTCCTCTATTAAATGAGGAAGCTGAGACCTAGAGAAGTTAAGTGACTCGCAAAAAAAAAAAAAACCTCAAAATCCTAATTAGAGGTCTAGCGCAATTATATCTCCTAGTTAAATTTGCCGTTTTTTCTATATTGTCATACTGGAACCAGTGCAACACCTTTACCTCAATTACATTTTAATTCCTAAGAAACAACATTCCTGTAAATCCAAGGTCCACATTTGTTTTAATTTATTGGTTCTAAGTTAAACGAGCCTTAGCACGGTACAATATAGTAATCCTTGTAATCACATATATAATATATACTATAATAACATAATAATAACTCTTAAGGGAACTATGATATTGATAGAGTTCTTCCTTAAGTTGTTTTGTTGATAAGACACTTCATCGTTCCTCAACTTCTATATTTTTGCATCTTCTCTTCTAACAGATGTGTAGATGTGTTTTCAGCATATGGTTTTATGATACCTGTACCAAGTGTAACAGCTGTTTCCTCAGTGGATATTTTATCAATTATCAGATCAGAATAACTGATCTGACTTCAGACTGGGTTATATTTCTCCAGTACAATCAAGACATTTGGTTGATCCATTTCTACTTCTAATTTACCTTTCAGGATCAATGAGCTGGGACTAGAGGACAGGGAATACTGCCTTTTGTCACTGATATTAATCATTTAGGTGTAACAAAATATGTAACCAAAACCAGTTAAATCCACAGGTTCTGTTGCAACAAATATGTGATGCAGGGTGGCAAATTCTTCCCTCCTTTATTTAAGGCCCAAATCCTCCATGGGAAGAGGGCTTCATTCTCCTCGCTGAAGCTATAGCTCTCCTTGAACTCTCCTCCCACTTCACCCCTACTCCTCCTTATGGCTCTGAACCTCTCCCTACTATAGTGTAGTACAGTTATTTGGTACCTTTCTTAATTCTGACACTTCCCTGGAAGGTCTTTAAGTATGGAGACCCGGTATGAGTCATCGTGGTACTCTTCAATATCTTGGACATAGCAGGTGCAACTTTGTGCTCTTTACACGTTTGAAATAAGAAGAGTTTCACAAACAGTCCTCTTGTCGGTCTCTCCCCTCCATGCCCCATGAGTCCCCGGGGATGGCTGGGTCTCTCACTCCGCCGCAACCCTGCAGTAACGAAATCCCTGGGCGGCTGGCCGCACCTGTGGGCCCCGGGCTGCCTCGCCGGGCTCCGTGAGCCGACAGCGCCCTCTGGGGGACGCGAGCGTGCCCGGCTCCTTTGCTCCCGTTGCTCCCGCGGCTCGGACCGCCTCAGCTCCCTGCTGTGCGGGGCTCAGCCCTGAGCCCAGCCGTGACGGGGGAGACGAACGTTCTTCCTCACCTTGCTCCAGCTTCCCTCCCATGACCAACCTTCCCCACTTTATCGGTGTCAATGGAACCTGAGCCTCCGAGGAGGTTCCATTGACCTGCAAGGCAAAGGCTGCTGTCCCAGCTGGCGGCTGCATGGTGACACAGGCTCAGACTCGCGGGTCATTTGGTCTACCCTCGGCTGCGGACCTGGCTGGGGACTGGGAGAACGAATAGTGCGGGCTGGGGTACGTTCACATCATGGTTCAGCAGTCAAGGAAGGCACCGTGCTGTACACAAGCAGGAACAAAGGTATTCGGAACGCGACCTCCGGCCGCTGAGGAACTCAGGGCCACTAGGCACCCTGATGAACGCTTTCTTCCTGCGGGGCACGGATTTGACCCCGCCTCCGGGTTCGGGTAGGTGTCTCTCAAATTCTTACCTCACTGAAGGATTCCCCTTTAAAAGTCAGGCTTTTCCCCACTTCTCCCCACTCCTTTCCGCTGTCCTTTCTTGCTCCGAGCCTGTGGCACGTCAGGTTAACTTTCGACAAAGGAAGCTTTTCTGAATCGTCTTATTCTTGAAAATGCAAACATAAGCTAACCAGGAAAGCCGGGCCGGGTGCAGCTGATGCAGGCCGGCGTTCTTGGAGTGTGGGAACCAAGCATGGAACCTTCTCCAAGTACCTGAGATTTCCCAGAGAGTTCTGAGGAAAGGTGACGGCCACGCCCAGGACAGGCATTAACATCTGGCATGTGGCATCTCAGGGGTCACTTTGGGACGGTAACCGGTGGCTGGGGGCGGGGGCGGAGGTTCTAGTGAGGAAGGAGAAAAGGATGGCTGTCCTTCCTCCCTGAAAACCATGCCAGCTCCCTTTCTTTACTGGGTCCTGCCCCTGTTATTCCCTCTGCCACGACTCCATGCCCCATCCTGTGGGTCTCAGCTTCAATGGCATTTCATCTGGGAGACTCCCTGATCCCGCATCGGCCTGAATACATTTTATCATCATTGTTCTACTTGTTTGTTTCCCCCAAAAGCCGAATTACAGTGGGGCTAATAAGCTTTAGGGTCCCTCACTTGTACTTCCTCCAAGGTTCTGTTCCTAATTTCGTATTCCCAATTTTGTATTCTTTTTCCTGAAAAGGGCTCTTCAAATTGTTTAAGCTTCAGTCCCCATGAAACCTGGGTCCATCCTAGTGTCCAGAGCACATGCTAGGCTCCCAATAAACGTTTGTTAGAAGAAAGAAGAAAGGAAGAAATGATCCTTAGCTAGTGCTTAGCCAGCCAGTGGTTTTCCTGGAAATCCTCAGCATTGTCATCTGGATGATCTGGATGGCAGGCATGAAGTGTCTGTCCCTTCACACAGGAAAGGACACTTCCAGCTTGGAAGCTCAGGAACTTAGCTCTAGGATCTTGGGCAAATTACCTGCCTTTCCATGGGCCAGGGTTTATTCAAATGTAATAGGAAGGTGTAACAATTACTTTATAGAACAATAATGGGTATTGATTTATGGGTAGGTACAGTACCTGCCACAAGTAGTTCTCAGGAAATACTAGTTTCTTTTCCTTTATATACATCCTTTATATACATTAAGAATGGATTATTCCATTCTTAATTTTTTTTATTTCTAGCACTGACAGCTTCCCCCCTCCCCCAAGGTGGCTCTTGGATAATGGGGTTTTAGTGTGGAGAGTCAGAGCACACAAAGAGATTTGTACTGGGCCCCACTGAGAATGTTCAGAGCCCAGGTCTGGGTATCCCCCTATACACTGTCCCTACCTACAATAGGATATAAGACTGCGTGGAAAAATTCAAGAAACTTGAACAATAATATAAATTTAAAAAAATTTTTTTAAACAAATAATGCTGGCTAACCAGTTTTCCCTTGCAGCTGTGGTTGAGTTTTGCTGACTTTTAACCCAACTGGAACTCTAATTTATGTTTCTCCCCTCAGGGATAAAAAGTAGTAATTTATCTCTGTCTCACAGAGAAGAAACAGACTGAAATGACATTGGCCACGCGCCTCAAGTGCCATAGTTGGCAAGCTGCAGACACACAACTGCAGCCCAAGTCCCTGCTCCCACTTTCTGGACACAGCCTTCTGTCCCTTGTCTTTCAGGAAGGATTGATGCACACCCTGCTCAATTGATTCAAGTTCCTGCCCTGAACCTCATCTAGTGAGAACCAATGTGCTAGCTGAGGCAAGATCTGACCCTACCACCACAAAGTTTAGCATGTCATTGTGGCTTTTCTCTAACAAGAATTGAGAAGTGGCAAATGTTTCTCTTGTTTTTCTCTGGTGACATCCACACATTCTGTGTTTGCGTGTGCCAGGGCTTCACAATCCACAACAAGGTGGGTAGGACATGCAGAAGGAGGGTGGGGTGGGAAGGGCATTTTGCAATTTACTATAAGGTCTGCAAGTTCCACTATTCATTTCTTAAAATAATGATAGTAGAAGTAGTAGTAATAGTAACAACAGTAAGAGCTAACAACTATTGGTTGAGATCTATGTGCCAAGCATTACCATTTTTTAAAAATTAAATAACCTTTATTGTTTGGTGCCATAAAAAGATTTGATTATCATTCCAGCATTGGTTTTATCCACCCGATTTTTTTCTCATTTTTATTTTTTAAAATTTTTAAAGGAATTTGTTTTTTAATTAAAAAGTATTGATTGTACATATTTATGGGTTACAGGTATATTTCAATACATGTATACAATGTGTAATGATCAAATCAGGGTAATTAGCATATTCATCATCACAAAACTATAATTTCTTTGTGATGAGAACATTTGATCTCTTCTAGTCATTTGAGAACATACAAAAAAATTATTGTTAATTATAGTTTCCTAGCACTACTGTACTCTACTAGAACTTATTTTTCCTATCTAGCTATAAATTTGTGTCTGTTAACCAACCTCTCACTATCCCCCCCGCCACCCCTTTCCATCTTCCAGTAACCACAATTCTACTCTCTACTTCTAAAAGTTTAACATTTTTTTTTTTTTAGCTCTCACATATGAGTGAAAACATGCAGTGTTTATCTTTTTGTGCCTGACTTATTTCACTTAACATAATGTCTTCCAGGCTCATCAGGCATTAACATTTAACAACCCTCTTAATCATCAAAACAGCACAATGAAATATGTATTAGCGTATTTCTCCAATTCTAAGATACACATTTTTTTTTTAATCACATATTGGATTCTTCTAACAGTACTTTCTTATAATGGCTTATATTATAATTGCTGGTGAGTTTTTTGGGTTTTCTTTGTTTTTTTAATCTCTTAGTAGTACATACAATTAGGGTACATTTTACAAATTAAGTAACTAAGGTGGAGAAAAACTAAGCAATGTTCCCAGGGTCTTGCAACGAGAGCCTGGATTCATAGACAAGTGGTCCAGCTCCAGAGCCTACCCGTTTGTTTGCTTGTTTTGCAATCTTGGGCATTCTGTGAACACCTCATAGTCAGCCATAGGTCTGTCCATTGGGAAGTGGGCTCACGTGGACTGCATAGTCTATGAAATAGGATATATATCCTATTATATATATATATATATATATGAGCCATATATAAATATATACCTCATATAATATATATATATCACATATATGTTTCTTTTGAAAAATATAAAGCAGTTTACAAATGTAAAGTATAGTAACAATAAGAATATTAGTAAAACTTAGCAGATGGTTAAGAACAAGAAAAATAATAGAATATTTAAAAGTTAGGCACCATGATTCTAAGATTAATTTTATTAAGGAAGAGATATTAGGGTAGAAAATGTAGCAATGTTTTGAAGTACTATTTCCTTGAAATAATTATTATACCTGTGATTCTATTCTGTTTTTCACAGAAAACTCTAAATTTAGATACTCCCTGAAGAAAAACAGAGGCCAAGTTTAACCTGGCTGGATGGACCTGGGGTAGAGAACAGACATCAGAAATGTCTCCTGCGAGAAAATCCTCTCCTGTGGTTGCTTCCTACTTCTTTTGGCCTTGATTGAGTTACTTCCACTCTTTGACCAAGAAGTTTCTCCAACTGTGAAATGAGGAGTCTGTACCAGCTATAAACTTTTTTGATGGTTCATCCGTAGCCTTTTAAACAACATTTTAACACATATCCTCAATATATGTATCCTCTTTGTCTTTCATTTACAAAGAGTAAAATTTATTCTGTGTGTGTGTGTGTAGTTCTCTGAGCTTTAACACATATATAAATTTGTGCAAGCACCACCCCAATCAGTATACAGAACAGTTCCATCACCGCCCAACACTCCCTTGTGCTACCTGCTTGTAGTGAAACTCTGCCCCCCACACCTAACCTCTGGCAACCACTGATTAGTTCTTCATCCCTGTAGTGTCACCTTTTCCAGAATGTCTTAATAAATGGAATCATACAGTATGTAGCCTTTTGAGACTGGCTACTTTCACTCAGCAGAAGGTCTTTGAGCTTCTTTCTCTGTTGTTGAGTGTATCAATAATTTGTTCTTTTTTATTGCCAAGTAGTGATTCACTGAATGAATGTCCTACAGTTTACTTAGTAACCCACTCATTGAGGGGCATTTAATGTGCTTCCAGTTTTGGGTGATTACGAATATAGCTGCAGTAGAGCTGATTATTTAGCTTAGTTGATTAGAGCATGGTGCTGATAACACCAAGGTCAAGAGTTTGGATCCGTGTACTGGCCAGCTGCCAAACAAACAAACAATAAAGCTGCTATAAACACAGACATTTTGGGTAAGCGTAAGTTTTCATTTCTGTAGAGTAATTAGGAGTGGGACTGCTGGGTTGTATTAGTAAGTAGTATATGTCAAACTCTATAAGAAACTGCCAAACTGTTTTGAGTGTCTATCATTTTGCATTCCCACCACGAATGAGAGTTTCAGTTCTTTCACTTCCTCACCAGCACATGGCATCTTCATTGGTGGTGGTGGTGCTGCTGCTGCTGTTTTAATTTTAGTCATTCTGATAGTTTTATAGTAGTATGACATTATGGTTTTAATTTTTATTTTCATAATGGCTAATGATTATGAGCATCTTTGCAGTGTGCTTATCTGCCATCTGTATAATTTTGGTGAAATGTTTAACCAAATATTTTGCCTGTTTTTAAAATTGGGTTGTTGTTTTCTTAATGTTGAGCTTTGAAAGTTATTTACATTTCTGAATACAAGTCCTTTGTTGGATATGTGATTTGCTAATATTTGATCCCATTTGATAGCTTGTCTTTTAAATCTCTTCAACAATGTATTTTTGCAGAAAAACTTTTTTGATTATGTCTAATTTATCTTTTTTTTTCTTTGATGAATTAGCTTTTGATGTCATATGTAAGAACCCTTTACCTAACTCAAGGTCACAGTCATTTTCTCTTATATTGTTAAATAAACATTTTACAGTTTTTATTTTACATTTAGATCTATGATCATTTGAGGTTAATTTTCCTATAAATTATACTGATACATAAGTCAAGATTCATTATTTTTTGCTTATGGATGTCCAGTAGTTCCATTCATTGAAAAGACTATCCTTTATCCATTGAATTGTCCTCATATCTTTGTCAAAAATTAATTGTTCATGAACTGTATCCTTTAAAATGGTTATAATGATGAGTCAAGATTCATTATTTTTTGCTTATGGATGTCCAGTAGTTCCATTCATTGAAAAGACTATCCTTTATCCATTGAATTGTCTTCATATCTTTGTCAAAAATTAATTGTTCATGAACTGTATCCTTTAAAATGGTTATAATGATGTATTTTATGTTATGTGAATTTTATCTCAATAAAAGAATCTATCTTAAAAAATCAATTGATCATATTTTTGTGGGTCGATTTGTGGACTCTCTGTTTTGTTCCACTGATCTATGTGTTTATAGTTTCATCAATACCACACTGTCTTGATTACATAGCTTTAGATTAAGTTTTAAAATTAGTCAGTAGGAGTCTTCTATCTCTGTTCTTCTTTTCAAATTGTTTTGGTTATTCTAGGACCTTTGCCTTTTCATATGTATTTTAGAATCCAGCTTGCCTATATCTACAAAAAATCTTACTGGGATTTTGATTATTATTGCATTAAATCTATAAAATCAATTTGGGTCCTGTACAGTTGCCAGGTAACATACAGGCCACCCAGTTAAATCTGAATTTCAGATAAACAACAAATAATTTTTAGTATAATTATGTTCCAAATATTGCCTGGCACATAATTATACTAAAAATGTATTAGTCATGAATGGATGTTGAAGTTTGTCAAGTGCTTTTTCTGCATTAAATGATATGATCTTTTTTTATTTAGTCTTTTGATGGTGGATTATACTGATTGACTTTAAAATGTTGAACCAGCCTTGTTTTCCCATAATCAATTCCACTTGGTGGTGCTGTACTATTATTATTATATATGGCTGTATATATTGCTAATTTTTTGAGAATGTTTGCATCTGTATTCATGAGGGATATCAGTCTGAAGTTTTCTTTCTATTCTTATTTTCTAATTTAAGCATTTAGTGCTAAATATTTCCCTCTGAGCCTTGCTTTAGCTGCATTATTTTCATTTAGTTCAAAATACTTTCTAATTTCCCCTGACATTTCCTCTTTGATCCATGGATTATTTATACATATTATTTAGATTTCCAACTTTTGGGGGACGTTTCAGATATCTTTCTTTCTTTCTTTCTTCTTTCTTTGGCTGACCAGTACAGGTATTGAATCCTGGACCTTGGTGTTATCAGCACTATGCTGTAACCAAATGAGCTAACTGGCCAGCCCCCAGATATCTTTCTGTTATTGAGTTCTAGTTTAATTTTGTTATGATCATAGAATATATTTAGTATTATTTCAATTGTTTTAAATATAAATATGAAAGAGTTCCAGGTCTTCTGACTAGAAACCTAGGGCTTTAATTTCCTTGCTCTGCCAATTATATACTGTAACTGAGTCTACCCCTGGGGACAAGTGGAAGGAGGATAAATAGAGAAAAAAAGCAATGGGGGGTTTCCTATATTTTTAGGATCACAGTTGCAACGGTTAGAGAGAAGCATTCCCCTCCTTCTGTGTTTTAAGTGTCTATTGGCAGCTGCTGCCATCACGCCACAGCAGGATTGCAGTTTTGTGTTTGGGTCTTCCCTGGGGCTGGGATGGGAGGGTAAGTTAGAAATAAGAAGAGGATTTCCCCAGATATCTGTATTCCATAGGTGCCCTCTTTCCTGTACCTCAGACAAGAAAGAGAAGTCTTTCCTTGGGACATGCCTGGTGCAGTTTTTGGATTTGGTATTTGTTCGAGTCCAGGCTAGGAGATATGGAAGAGAAAAAAAAATAAAGAAAACTCACCATCAGGTCATTAGTACTTCTAGTTTTGGTTTCCTTCCTTATGTGTCTGCTATCATTTACTCTTCAGAGCCTTCAGATAGCTTCTCCAAGCATTCTGTCTAGAGTTTTAGTTGCTTACTCCATTCTTTCCAGAACTGGAAGCCCAATCAATGTAGTTTTAATGTTTAATACATTTTAAACATGTACTATTTTTTTATGTGAAATAAAAATAAAATTTAAAAAGAATGATAAGAACTTCTACTTCCAACTAAGATGGAATAACAGAGACGGGATTTACCCTGTCACCTGAAACAATCATAAAAAGGACAAATATGTGACACAGCAACACAGTGATTTTTCAAGATGCTGATGTCAGGCAACAATGAAGAGTGATCCTGGAAGGATGGAAAACAAACAAGGAGAGCCCTATGGTTGACTCAGCTAATATACTGAGAGAGTTTCCAAGCCATAGTGCAGTGAGGGAGAGTCCAGGCTGGTTCACTGCTGAGCTGAGGAGATGGAGCTGACAGTCTGGGGAGACCACAGTGCTAGAGCTTGCACGGAGTAGTACCAGTGAGGTGAGAACAATACTGTGGAGCTCCTCTGGATATGTGAAGACGGTTCCCTCCAGTATTCACCTATGTACTGGTTAGTGCGTATGTGTGGGGAAGCTACCAGAAGCCTGGGAAAGAACTACCTGGAAGGATTAGAGTGAACAGTGCCCCCCACCCCACAGGGCCAGGAAGAGTGTATCTTCCCATCAGCCAGAGTGGGAAACCTCATGATCCAAAGGGCATCTAGTAGAGTATTTAGCAAGATCTTTCATTAGGAGTGGGGAATAATTAGCCCTAGACTTAGCTGTAGTCTAGCTCTGCCTAGCAATTAAAAAACAAGACCCAAAAGGACCAAATTATTCTCAAGTAATTTAATCATGCCCCAGAATAAGACTAAAGAATATTTAAGGGAATACAAAACTGTTCATTGTGCAACAAGTTAAAATTTACAATGTCTGGCATTCGGTCAAAAATTACCAGTATGCAAAGAAGCAAGAAAACATGTCCCATAATGAGGAGGAAAAACAATCAATTGAATCTGACCCAGAACCGTCACAGATGTTAGAATTAACAAGGAATAACATTAAAAGTTATTGTAACTGAATTCCAAAAGTTCAAAGGTTAAATAGACACAAAAAATATATCAAAAAGATCCAAATCAAACATCTAGAGATATAAACTACAATATCTGGAATAAAAACTCATTGGATAGGATTAATGGCATAGATACCACAGAAAAAAAGACTGAGTGAATTTGAAGACATAAGAATAGAAATGATCCAAAATGAAACACAAAGGGAAAAAAATGTTTAATGAAAAGGTCATCACTGAGCTGTGGAACAACTTTAAACAGCCCAATAAACATGCAATTGGGGTCCTGGAAGGAGAGAACATGGGAAAGACAGAACAAATATTCAAATCTAAACACTTCCTTTTACTTTAAAGGTTTTAAGTGTTTAAAATGCAGCTAATTTAAAAGTTAAAAATTATTGCAAATTAGACATGGCCAGTAAGTTACCAGTTGGAGGTCTTTGGTATAATGGCATGAGTAATATAAGAAACATCCCATGGCCGTATAATCCATAATAAAGCAATAGTCCTCCAGTGCCCAAACCTGGACTCTTATCAGTGCTGCTGAAGAGATGCCCAGAGCCTACTCTGTGTTTTGATGAAACTTGAGGTAGACTTGAAAGGCTAGAGTAACAAGCCAAGAACAATCCAAGGCCATATCTCATAGGGTATAATTCGTACAGTATCAAATGCAGACATAAACCTGTGAGTGTAGAGCTACAGAGAGGTGGGTTCCTGGCTAACTGAAGGGCAGGGACTGCTTATGGAAACTGCTGTTTTGACATTTCCTCTAGAAGGAGAAGGTTGACCCTTTACCGGCAGGTCATGGGTTCAGATTCAGACTGAGTCAGATATGGCTAATTTCCCTACAGACTTCAGGCTGATTTAAAGGCAGATATGTTAATCTTTCTTCCTGTCAATTCTTACCAACCCATTTTCAGGCCATATCTGAATACACAATCATTTTTGTGAGGAGACATACTGAGTTTTGAAAAGAGATTTTTCCTGGTGCTTTGTATTTTTAAAATACTGAGTGTATATGCTTGGCCATTTGTCTGATGACAAGGTAGTTATCTTTTGAAACACTGAAAAAAAAATTCAGTTGCAATTTATTCAAATGCCTTCTCCCACAGCCTCTTGCATTTCAGTAGTATCAGGATAGCACATGCAGAAATGTCTTTTTATGTCTTCCAGTCAAGTGCTTCCAGTTAGGCATGTTCCATGTAGTAGAACAGTGTGAATGGCAAGAGTCAGCCCTACAGCT